GTCCTGACAGTCTTTATAAGTTTTTCTCTGCCCTCCATTCCGGCCAGTGGTCTGCAGTTCTACATTGCCTACACCGATGTCCGAAGCTCGGTCCTGCTTTGGACAATGCAGATTTTGAGGGCAATCGGAAATTTTACTTCGATGCTCAGTTCCACCTCCAACTTCTTTGTTTACATTTTTCAGAGTAAACGATATAGGGCAATCCTGGCGCAGATACTACATCTTGACAAAATTTACCCAAGGCTAAAACAGGAATCAACGATTACACCTGCTTCCCTTAGATGACAAGGATGGCAGAACAGTCAGTTGTGTCACGTCTATTGTCATACTCCCTTGTATGTTCCGCAGACATTAATCATGTCTTTGCATTTTTATACGCTGTTTGTATATGCATATGCCCTTTTGACATTAAACAATTACTTATTTAATAACATTTTTATCACCCAAAGGACTAAGAATCATCAATCAGTTATTTAAAGCAGGCTTACAATGGCTATTATATGAATACTGAACGATTAAATACATGTCTTAGTTTTATGCTAACTTAGATTAAACAAACAGAAATGATCAGTAGAAAAACGCAGATTATAGCTCTAAGCCGAAAATTTACGTCTTACTGTATGAAGCCATCGATTTAAAAAAAAAACGAGTGAGACGAAATTGTTCAGTACTCATTTCAATTTCGTACTTGAATTTAAATAAACTTACATCATATAAGGAAGCAGAACCATGCCAAGACCTAGGTTCTGCCTCTAATACGTCGAATAATTTATGCAGACAATTTGCACCCTCAAATAAGACCAAACGAGGAGATATTTAAACGTACAAGAGATATTCAGGAGCTCGTTGATGAACGCAAACGTTTTTAAAAGGGGATAAATCGTGTTACTCCACATGTTGACTGTTTTTATAGTACGCTTGTGTATTTGCGTTAAGCAAAGAAGACTAAAAAGTCCATCAGTTGAGTACCAATAGCTAAAGAAACGACCTAACGTGAACAAATTTGAAAATTAAGTAGGGACGGAGAATAAGGCAGGTGGATGTCTAAGGAAAGGCGTAATCAAAATGTATGATTGGAAAGAGTTAAATTGCCTTGCCGTGCACAGAGCAGACGAACCAGCCCATGATAAAATCGACTGTGAATTCTCCATTTATAATTTTATAGAGAAAAGATTATGTTTGTGACTTTTGAAATCCACTCCGCAGACAACATACTAACAAGGCATTGAGCGCTGAACATACGCCCAGTTACCTTCAAACACCACTCGAACTTACTGAAAGATTGTTTTTGTATTTTTTGCGATTTGGTACAATTTTAAACATTACAATGCAGTTAGCAGGCAATCAGTTCCAATGCTCACCTTGCAGTGCTGTTATTCTGATTTTTCTAAACGTTTAATAATCATACTAAGACTTCAATCCCCATGTTATCGTTTGACTCACAATTCAAGATTCTAAACAGCTCTTTGGCGAACTGAACATAGACAAAAATGGAATCTTCTATCTTGGGTCTTGCTTGCTAAGTAGAATGCGTAATGGAAGATGTTCAATCACTAGATTCACATAATGCGCCCAAAACCCTACTCAACTGCAGTGTACGTTAAGCGGCCAGCTTTAACTTTACCTTTACTGTAGTGCAAATTTAAGCAGATAAGAACTAGATCATGAGAGTTCATATAGTTGAAACACATCTCATTTCGATCCAAAACATCAAGGTAACTTGAGTTAGTCAAGGGCAATCAATACCATTGAAAGGACCTATTTTGCAGCTGAGCTTGTATTTTGCAACTC